ATTTTTTAATAATTTAGGTTTTTAAAATTTTTTAATTATTAAAGTATTATAAATTATGATGTAATTAAATTATATGGAATTAAGTTTTAATGGGTAATTTTGTAATTATATTAAATATTAGGTGTTCTCCGTAAAAGCCTCATTTAAAAGCCACAGCCAGAAAACTGTAAAATGAGGTTTTTGACTTTATATATAAAATTACTATAGACCTGCTGTGGTTTTTTGTAGTTTTTTAAAAAAGCAATTTGAAAAAAAATTACCAAATAAACATATATCTAAAAGTGCTATGTGGCTACTAAAAAAGCTCTCAATCACAATCCCGAACTGTAGACCTGCTGTGGCTTTCTATAGTTTTTAAAAAAAGCAATTTGAAAAAAAATTACCAAATACATATATATCTAAAAGTGCTATGAGGCTACTGAAAAAGCTCTCAACCGCAATCCCCAGCACATATATAAAATTACTGTAGATCTATAGTGACTTATTGTAGTTTTTAAAAAAAGCAATTTGAAAAAAAATTACCAAATACACATATATTTAAAAGTGCTACGTCGCTATTGAAAAAACTCTCAACCACAATCCCTAACGCACCCTAAGTCTCATCTAAAATTTATGCAAGACTGTTTAATATCTTTAAAGAGATGTTTGTTTACGTTTATACGGACACCCTCATTGCAGCCCCAATATTGAATTTCGCACGTTTTTTTTTTATTAATTTTTCAATAGTTGATAATCATATTAGGTCTCAACTAATCCGAAATTAACTCGGATTGGACCGGATCCCATTAAAAGAGAAGCTCTTCCAACATTTATTTCTCCATTAACAAGACTTAAACTAGAGACCTCACTTAAAGAAAATCAAGATATTTCCACTTAGACCAACAAGAATTTGTATTTCCCACGTTTTTGTTGTTTGTTTGTCATGACATTAGCTGTTTTATGTTCCCATCCCACGCACAAAAGATAGTGTTAATGTGATTAATTAATGAGTATAAATGTCATGTCCCCCTACAACTAATAAGTAATAACACAAGTTTATAATTTTGAGAGCAAGTGGAGTTTGACTTAAATAAAGAGTTGCGAATTAAGAATTATATGTGTCAGGGTTAGCTATGTGTAGTGTTTGAGGTTAGTTAAGTTTATAAATTTATAACTATTGAAAATCAAAACTAAAAATTAAAAATTTATTTAAAATAGATTTTAATACTAATAACAAAGAATATAAAATTATTTAATAGTATGAAATTTTTTTTTCTAGTAATTATGATGATATTTTGCAAAAACACAAGAAAGTAAACAATTTTTTTGTTTAGAGTTATAAAATTTATATATGGTTTTCGATTATGTGCCTTAAAATACAAGTTAAGGGTATAATAAATATATATTTTTATAATTAATTTTTATTAAAAGTGTAAATGTTGACTTTAGTTTAATAAATTAACCAATTAAAATAATCTATGTGTTAGTAATGTTAAAATATATGTCAATTTTTATAATTTTTTATGTGAATTAATAATAAAAAAATATATTTATTATATTCTTAGGACACAGATTAGACAAACCCATTTATATAAGCCAAAATTAAAAAAAAAAAAAAAACCATAACCGTACTAAATGAAGTCTAAGTTAGTGCACTTCAATTGTTTGATAAAAAAGATCTTTTGTAGTTTAGACCGTATTATATTATAACAATAATAACTTAATTAAGAAGGATCTTTTGATATTAGAAAAGGACATTTCTATTTAATAATTAGTGTTTTAAAGTCCACTATGGTCTTAATTGCGAAACACCAAATTCTTGTTAGATTGTGTAAAATTGTTTTTTTTGGACAAAATGCCTAAATCCACTCACAAAATTTTTAATTTAGATAAATCATTCTAAATTAGAAAAATACCCAAATCCATCTTCAAAGTATAGTGGCAAGGACGGATTTACCTTCGAACAAAAAATGGAGACAAATCCATCCATAAAGTTTTCGACTTAAACAAATTATTTCAAATTTAACGTGTGACATTATCTAACATCAACAATCCATTAATTCGTTAACAGATTACTGACATCAGATAATGCCAAATTAACAGATTACTGACATCAGATAAT